TTCAAAAGCTAAAGCTAGTGTAGGTCGACATCTCCTGTTGAAGCTTATGGTATTGTTTCATTGTTTGGATATTTTAGTTGTAGCATACTAAAATCTAAAGTAACATTTCTCTTGCTAATAATATATGCTAATAGAGAATGGCGGTGAAAGTGTGGGCTATTAGTGTCGGGAAAGAAGAAGACGCGTGGCGCGATGAGGAAGAACACGGAGACAGGGTCGTGCGCTCCCATAGCGCGCGACGGGTCGTGACTTAAGGCTGCTCTTCTTCTCCTTCCATGAGCAAAACACGGTGGAAACCGAAAATTATGTATTGCATCCTCTCCGAAGGCCGCTTTGACCCGACCTTCTGTTTCAAGTAATTTTTTTCTAGCTGAAAAGCAAACACAACTCATGCTCATAACGCATCTTGGACGCAACACCGTGGTCAAGGTATGGGCGCACGACACGCACACAGAGAAAAGCAGCAGGCAGTACAGGGCTGTTTGGATGCTGCCTGGCAGGCAGCTGAACAGCTAGGCAGCTATCCTGTCCACAGGCACACGAAAATGAACGCCTGGGATCCTTGCCTGGACCAAGTAAGTTCTCAGACGTCAAACCAAACACCCGCTAAGTCCTTGGTAGAAAAAAAATGTCTCGGACCCTTGGTTTGACGCATCTCTTTCTCCTGCTTTCGTAGTGCCTGCCTTGCTGCGGCGACTGCAGAAACGCAACCAAGAACGACAAAAAATCATGTGCAATGCCAGATCTTCCCAGAGTCTCTCTCTCTTTTACCTCGTCTCACAGCCCCACCCCAAGCTCCGGTGCATGCGTGCTGCATGCCATTGCCACGCATCATCATAAAGTAAAACTAACCAATTATCAACATGCTGCACAGTGCACGTATGCCATGAGAACACAAGTACGCGCAGACATCAGAAGCAGGATCGTGTTTATTATGGTTCATGTTCATCGTCTCTGTTCATCTGCAGTGCGGCGTCGCTGGTCTCACCGCCCATGTTCATGTGTTCATACTGACAAGGGAATCACCGCCGACCTGATTTGATGCTCATATATAGCGTGTATAGAGTCGCATAATAACTTAATAAGGGCTCCTCTGGATGGAGGGGTGAAAAAAGCATGTATATTTAGACCCCAAGGCTTGATTTGGGAGCAAAGGGTAGGTAACCCAGGGCCATAATACCTGAAGGGGGATTTTGAGGGCACTTCGTTTCCCGTTGAGGCAATCCACGAAGTGTTGTTCTCCCCTGTCGCCTTTTGGGAACCAGGGGTAGATCACGAGGGAGCTGGTGGAGGAAGTCTTCACGGGCAAGGAGGCAGAGGCGACGCAAGACCGGACGACCCGAAGAACACAAACGGAGGCATCGACGCGAGACGGAGGCGGCGACGGGCGACGCGAGGAAGAGAAACAGAGGCAGCGGTGAGTGAGGGGAGCGCTTCCCGGCCTATTGGGTCATGGATTTCTCCCCCGTGGAAAGTAGAGGGAATTAGGCTCCAAAACTCCGTCACTCGGGGTTCCAAATGCTACAGCAATCTGCCACGGGGGAGGATGGCCCGTGGACTCGCGGCGCCGGGAAAAGGGTGGGATCCCGGCGGGAAACCTGACTGCCAAAGTAGCCCCAAAGGGAATTCTTTCCGTGCACAATGCCGCCCTCTCCCCGCCAGGTAACTATAGCCCCATCGTGGAGGAATTTCCAGACACCATTTGGATGACACAAGGATATAAATCCTGGCCAATAAAAATACATTCAAACAATTAGAAAAAAGTCACAGATTTCAGAAATACTATTGTCGAGTAGAAATTCAGCACAATTACATAAAAACTATTAATTCGTCACAACATTCTGTAGCTTATTAGTTACAAACAGAACAAATGGATATAGAAAAATAAATAGGATCTATCTAGGCATTTTTGTCTAGGCACAAATCCAGTACATTTATCCAACTACATAACCAGCAAAGATACGACCATAGTCTATAAATCCTTGCAATCAACACTTACAACAATCATCGGTAGCATGACTCAACGATAGCCAAAACTTGCATGATTAGGCCTGCAATTACATGAAGAGAGAAGTCAAACATCAACAGCATACAAAATGGGTTACAACAAAAAAATATAAAGCCCAAAATTATTTCGAATGAACACATAATGAAAAAGAACTACAGAAAAAGTAAGGTGTTGTCCCTTCTATGGAGTATCAGTATCAGGCAAACAAGAATAAAGCATTTTCTTCTAACATTGGCAAAGAAATGAAAATAAGAAAGTTAAAAAAAAAGAACCATGAAACCATCTTAGAGATAAGAGGTTTTACACACAAAAACTAGGTACAAATTAAATCATTAAGCATGCAAACATAACAGTGAATGTCAACAGCACAACCAAGAACAGGATTACAGGGCAGGTGTTGCCAGGGCTGTAAAGCCCCACCCCCCCCCCACCTGCCACCCATGTTTCCCTTTTTTAGCCCTATATGCACAGAACCTTGATTAAAGCGTATAACCATGATTAACATGCCAAAAGTATGATTTACATCTAATATCTCATTATTAAGCACCTTCCTTGTCCCATTCCAAGCTCTGCCCCTGAGTACAGTGGCACCAGATCAAATAAGAAAAGTTGCATGTAGAACAGAATGTTCAGTTCTAAGCAAATATGGATTGAAGCTAATTGTCCAATTAAATTGACATGTAAAATAATCTGTCTCTAAAAATGAAGATAGAAACAGACATCTGCTAAAGTAAAGCCAGATGTGAAGAACCATACAGTTGTCTAAATAGATGAAAAAGTGCATCTCGTGCAACATGGAAGAGAGGAAGAGAAATTTTCCCTCAAATTATGTATATCTTGGTGAGTTATCCAAGCAATCCATTCCATTTGATGGTCTGGACTCTGGGCATGGCATGTGGAAACTGAAAACGTAATGCAGCACCAAGCTACTGGAAACGATAACTCCAGTTCACATTGTTAACACTGTTTTTTTTAGTCTTAGTACAAACACAGGATGCATTCGCATTGTTACCACGGTCATCATACATTGCACGTGGACGTTCCCAGAACGTGGAACGTGGCCATGTTCCCGTTCCAACATTGCTAAGATATAGGCATGATGTTATATACGATATGTTTGTGCCTGTACCAAATGTGGAATCGCATTAATCACGGATCCAACCAGCTTTTCCTCCCCCTACAACAAATCAACTCAGAAAGGCAAAATTAGTTGCTAAAACCAAAATGCAACAGAAATCCTTTTCTTAGGAAAATAGAATAATAGATATTATATAACTGCAAGGTAATAACTGAGTATATTTCTAATGGAAGAAAATAGAAAGAATGGTAACTAAAAGGGCAACATAGTATACTAAGCATGCTTCACATACATGAAGAGTGAAGTTGATCCTCGAGGAAAAATAATTTGATTTCACTGAATATGGGTTCCTGCAGATAATTTGCCATCTAAAAGCACACTTCAGATACATTCCTTTGTAGTCAGTGTGGACCAATTTTTCTAGTGATAATTTTGTATCCTCCACCTCAAAAGAAAACTATATATATTGCCTAAGGATATCTTGGTTTGCAAGCAAGAAAGAGAGATAATTTTGGATGAATTATGTTAGAAATTTGATAAGTTAGCTGCTCCAGTCATCGAATCTTCAGGAACAAAACTGATTGGTTCTACAAACTAGGTGATTTATAGAATGACTGTCTGCGAATACATACTGGCTAATTCTAAAAGCTAATACTGATCAGGGCAAAACAGAACAGTCTCCATTTGCGAATGCTGATACAAGACTGACAAAAAGATGGGCATATTTGGTTGTTTCTAACATTTTGTTGCTGAAAAATCGAACCGTTTCCCACTGTACTCTGCTTGTCCAACATACTCTGCTTGTCCAACTGCTTAAGCCTGAAGCCCCATATGAAAATGCAGAAAATGTTTCATTGTTCCCTAGGAAATTGAATATCAGAATTCAATGTTCTGCGGTTTAAAGATCCAGCCTGACGGATTTTGATAGAACTGATTGTTCCAGTGTTGAAGCTGATCTGTTCATGAGTTCATCGATCTAAATATCATGATTTCATACATAACACTGGTAAACACTTCAATCGGCCTTGAGCAAAACTGTTTCCTTTCAAGAAGACATGCGCGCGGACAACTACCGACCACACAGTACCGATTCCAAGAACTGAGCGGCAAATCTTGCACGGCAGAGTCAGAAAGTACTTACGCACCAGTGCAGCCTGCAGCAAGCACCAGGGCTGCCCCAGGCCGGCAGGGGCAGGGCCGCCGGCCGCGCCCGCTTCCCACTTCGCCGTCACGGCGTGTCTGCGTCAGTCCCTCACGGAGGAGAGGAGCTCTGGGTCCCGCCGGGCGCCATGGAGAAGCTGGTCGCGCGGGTGGCGCTGCTTCGAGTTGGAGAACGGTGCGGTGAGCTATTAAAAAAAAGATTGTAATTGCTGTGACCCACTCAAAAAGTTCAGGGAACTTCGGCACTGCTACTTTAACTTTTATTTGTCCTCGATGTCACTGTTGTTAGATTGAGATCTTACGATGTCAAATTACAGGTGTGAATCTTCATCTAATACCGCATAAAAGATATGATTTTTCTAAAATATATTAATCATATTAAATTATATCTTTTTTATGAAATTAGATAAAGATAATTTTTATATGAAAATTATAGATTTCGACAAGTTTAAGTTTTTTTTATTTGAAGTCGTTAAGACGTTAAAAAAATTAATAATATATTTAGTATTTTTGTTTTTTCACACCTATATTTTAACATCGTTAAAGGCTAATCTGATGATAGTGCTACGGAGAAAAAAAAAATAGGGCAATAACCCCGCTGAACTTTTTTAAGTGAGTCACGATAAATTGTGATCTTTTATAATGCCCGGAGGAATTCGCTCAAAATAGATCGCGTTTATTTGGGTCTGATCTGTATCCAAAGGAGCCCTATAAGTATCCCGTGGTGCTGAACCGATAGCGCCGACCGCCGCCATGGCCGGCAAGTTCCCGTCGGACCACCTCAGCGCTGCCCTCCTCCGGGAGACGGACCCGGCCGCCGCGCTCCGCCTCTTCCTTAACCCGCCGAACGCCACGCTTTCCGCCCCATTCAGCTACTCCCTCCGCTGCTACGACCTCATCATCTCCAAGCTTGCCGCCGCGCGCCTCTTCTCCGCCATGGAGTCCATCCTCTCCTGCCTCCCGCCCGCCGTCCCCTCCTCCGGTACTGGACCTCGAGAGCACCTCCTCTGCCAAGTCATCTCCGCCTACGGCCGCGCCCGCCTCCCTGCCGCCGCGCGCCGCACCTTCGCTCACCCGGCCTTCCCCGAGCCCCGCACAGCCCATGCCGTCAACACCCTCCTCACCGCCCTGCTCGCCTGCCGCTCCCCCCTGCGCGACCTCCTTGCAGTCTGCCGCGACGCCGGTATCTCACCCAACGAGTGCACCTATAACATCCTCATGCGAGCGGCGGCAGCGGCGGGCTCCCTCGAGCACGTGCGCCACCTGTTCGACGAAATGCTGCTTATGGGAGTCTCGCCAACTGTCACCACGTTCGGCATCATGGTCGCTGCACTATGCGACGCTGACAAACTGGAACAAGCATTCGAGGTGAAGGAGGCCATGGTTAGGCGGTACAACGTGTCGCCAAATGCTTCTTTGTATGCCAGTCTCATCAAGGGGCTCTGCCAGAGACAGAAGGTAGATGCTGCAATGAGGCTCAAGGATGAGATGGCCGGGAACGCAGAACTTGTGCGAGTTTCAGCTGTTTATGGTACGCTTGTACGGGCATTGTTCCAGGTAGGGCGCAAAGATGAGGTAGTTGGATTGCTGAAGGAGATGAAAGAGAGGGAGATCGTGCCTCATAGGGTGGTGTTCAATGCCATGATTGCCGGTTTGTGTGAGGATGAGAGAGATCCTGGTGCTGCATTGGCTGTGCTTGATGACATGCAGAAGAAGCATGGGTGCAAGCCGGATGGGGTGAGCTATAGTACGTTGGTTGCGGGTCTGTGCAAGCTGGGCAAGTGGCGGGATGCGATTGAATTAGTCAAGGACATGCCAAGGCGGGGCTTCCCTCCGGATGTGGTGACCTACAGAATGCTCTTCGATGGGTTGTGTGCTGCTGGTGAGTTTCATGAGGCAAACAAGGTTTTGGGTGACATGACTGTCAAGGGTTTTGCACCAAGAATGGATGGCGCAAGGAAGTTTGTTGAGGGGGTTGAGAAGGAAGGAGATGCATTGTTGCTGGAGGTGTTGTGCAGTCTGGCGAAGGTGAATGCTCTGGAGTCAGGTGGATGGGAGAAAGCTGTGGGTGGTGTGTTCAATGATCGTGGAAAGTTGAGGTTAGAGAAGCAGCTAGAGTCTATAAGGTTTACTTGATTAGATATCTTTGTGGATTTGATGCATAGTGATTAGTACTAGACAATTTTTTTTTTAGTTTCAAAATTGCTGCCTGATTCGAATTTGGATCGTTGGCAATTTGGATCACTAGAAAATTCTTAACTATAATTATATATTTGGTCATATGTGTATAACGCACGCAATATCCTTATACTTGTAGTTAAGGATTTTCTAGCATGCTTCTGGAGATTGTGTTCCCTTTGACCTTAACATGGTCATGTGCATCTAAATACTTGAATGGTACGAGTATATTGATATTTATACTTGGACCTTATTTTTTGTGAAATTTGTTGGACGCCTGTCAGTCAATGGTTTATGCAGTGCATTTGTGTAGACTGTTTGATTAATGCCTCACTTTGTCGGAGCTAAAGACTTCTCGCAAGGTCTGGCAAATTATGGCAGCCACAAAAAGCGATGAACAAATATGGCGCCACATGTCTGACAAATTTTTCTTAGCTCTGTACCCCACATTTCAGAGTCATTTTCATTCAAAAATTTGTCAGACATGTGGCGCCATATTTGTTCATCGCTTTTTATGGCTGCCATAATTTGCCAGACCTTGAAAATGACTCTGAAAAACACGACTATGGCACATCAAACACTTCATGTTCACATTTTACCAACCAGGCATGTTTGATGTGCCATAGTTGTAACACCTCGGGTGTTAGCCTTGCATAACTTGACTTGCATAACATAAGCATGAGCATCAAGCATTCATAAATCATCATTTACAATTGAAACATTCGATCGAAACATATGAAACATTGCTTGTTATCTCGTATTTCTTGGAACATATGCATATGATCAAGTGCAAATAAATGCTAGTGTGTAATGTTGGTCACTATAACACTTTAGCTACACTTAGGTTAACAAAAGGAACATTGTTCATGAAGGCCACATTTCATGATCAAGCACTTAAGTGATATTTCATGTGTTGACCTGAATAGCTATATGAGTGACTACTACATGAAATGCTTAAATGACCTTGCAAATTGTTTAAACATGCTTAGGATATCATTAGGAACAACTTTGGTATTTAGTGCTAAGGCTAGTTTGGTCATTTAGCCCTGGTTTGTGTATGTATCATGATTTCAAAGTAACATGTTTGACTAAAGTTGAACTAGGTGTTAGAGACCTTGCATGGAGGAGTTCACTAAAGCAAAGTTGTAGTGTTTGACATAAGGAACAACTTTTATGTTTACGTCATGGATTGATTTAGCCTCTAACATGTTCGAATTATACTCACAAAAACCAGCTTTTCACTGTTTTCAACACTTCAAAAATTTTTCTAAGTGTTTGCTCACTAATGACTGACAAATAGATCTTTGGGATGACATTGCTCCTTAACCGCTTCTGTAATTAGGTCTTGATCGTTTAGGACGAATTACGATGGTACTTAGGGCTACAACTTTTGTGTAGATTGTGAGCACTAATACTTCACGGATTAGAAGATCTAGCTCCATGAAAACCGTCGTCAGAATCTTTGCATCGGGTCATCGAACGAATCAACCGAATCGCGACGTCGCTTGGCCGACACCGGCGAGTTCACAAGCGCGTGTCCCGGCGGCGACGGCACGTCAGCGCCATTGCCTTACGACCGACACAAGAAACGTTACGCTATACTGAAGGCGCCTTTAACGCCGCCAATCCCGCCCGAAATCGCCTGCGCTCCATTTTCGCCGCCTCGGCCGTCCTTCCTCGCGGCAGAAGAAGCGCCGAGCGCCCACCGCCCGCCGCCGCCATAGCGCACGCACACCGCTACTGCCACTCAAGCGCCACCGCAATGACTCCACCGCCACCCCAAATCCTATCGCGTCCTCCAAGGTTGCTCATTGCTTCAAGCTCGGTGAGCTCTAACCTCGCAGCAGCCTCGGCGGAGCTCCTCCGCCACCCTCCGTCGCCAGTGGTCCCACCTAACTGACCACCCCATGCCACGTTTGAGCGCGCAAATAGGCCAACCATAGCTCGTAGATGCTCGTCCGAGCTTGTGTTTGCGCCACCGTAGCTTCCACCGACGTCTCGCCGCTGTCGCCGCCTCTCCCTCGCTCATGAATTCTTGCCGCCGCCGCCGTCCCTTCTGATGTCGACAATAGGGCTTGGCCAAGTGGCTCAATAGATGCGCTTAGGTCACGTGAGATCACGTCGTGAAGACCTCACCGCCAAGCAACCTCGCCGTCCGGCGAAGCTCTGCCAGCGCCAACACCGCTGCAGCCAATGTCATTGCTTTCTTGAGTCAATGACGGTGGGGTCCCACATCCGCCGATGAAATAGTGTAGGCTAACTCATTTTGAATCCAGCTTTTGAATTGTTTTGTTATTTTTGTATCTTTAGTTTGGTAGCTCCTAAAATGGTGAAATAAATATGATTGTGTTGCTTAGGAAGTGTAGTATTTTGGAAAAATATGTTCTTGGTTTCAACAGTAGAAATTTCTGGAGATTTAAATAGGGATTTGAAATGTGCTTTTGAATGCATTCAAATTTGTTTATTTTATATCTAGAGTTCCTGTGCTCCAAAAATTATGAAATTTTTGTGGTGAACTAATCTTAGCATATGTGAGCCCTGGTAAAAATTTGAGGACCAGTGCATGGGTAGATTTAAAGTTATAGATTTTTCTTTTATGACTAGTTAATCCTTGCATGAATTTTCATAAATTAAGTATGAGTCCAAAATTCATGAAATTTGTTGGAGGTGATACTAGTACCATATGGATGCTAAGAAAAATACAAAATCTGTTGTTTGACACTTTTCAATAGGATTTTCCATTTATGCTAATTCAAGCCTTGCTGCCTTGTCATTTTTGTATAGAATGTTCTACTTGGTAAAATGACATGAAATTTTTACAGTAGTCTCTTGATAGCATTAGTAAAGCTCTGTAAATTTTTGAGAATTTATTAAGCATATCTGATATATATTTATTATTTAACCTAGATATCTAAATAAAATAATAAAGGCAATTTAATAAATAGTTTGGGCTTTACCATTATATCATCTTAACTGTATTTGGTATGCTTAAACTATTGGTAGGTTCTAGGTTGTCAAATTTTGAATGATTACCTGAAGGAGAAGTATTCTTACTTTATGTTGCATGTTAAGTCATTTCCGGACTGATTCTAGAGTGTGAGGATTTGCATATTGAAACTGATGTGTACTGTAAAATGGTTAATAACAAAGTTGTAGAGAATTGGATAAGCTTTCCAGAAAGTCCTAGATCACTAGATTTGGATTTGTAGAACTCCAGTTATGAGCGAAACAAGTAGATACTGCTTATGGCATAGTCGATGCTTTGTAGAAGTAGTTAAGTAGTAAGCGAGAAGAGATATGCACCTACTCAAACAACGTGATGCACTTGTTAACATATATGCATTCGTAATACTTATACCATACTCATGCATCTAGGATCGGAGGAAGAGATCACGTTGTTTGAATTCAAGAAGCGAGAGGAAGGAACCCGCAGGAGGATCCGCAAGTCGTAGCTCCCAAGGCGTGGAGCGTAACCTCAAGAGCTTCCTCGAGTGCCCCGACCACCGTCCTACTTCCTTTCTGCATGAGGCAAGCCCCGAGCATTATAAGTCTCCCGATGAATTTACAAATGTTTACTTACGTATTTATGATTGATGCATTAGGTTATAAGAGTTGAATGAAACCACTTGATGCATGTACATTCCTTGTCCGGATATTACACCTTTAACCGGTATAGGTCCGAGATCGAATATATATATGCTTAGCCATGCTTAGACCGGTAGAAGTCGGGTGATGTCCTGTCACCCGAGATATAGGTGGATACCGAGCACGGTTGGCTATATCTCGCTATCGTGGAAAATGAACCATGAGGTAAAAGTAAATTGAGACCGGACGGAGATCGATAGGGAAGCAACAAGGCATGGAGGTCTTGGGTGTGGACTTATCCCCGTCTCAGGTCGATTAAGGACCGCATCTGCTTGTTGGCGCTTCGACAAGATTGAACGCATGCCTCTCACTTAGCTGGCCGGATAATTCGCTTCACCGCTGGCCGAGTAATTCAACTCGGCCGGAATCGTTACATTGTGCGCCCCTTCCGGAACGATCGGGACCGAGCCCAAGGGCGGTTTTGCTCGAGCATCCCGGCATCCGGTGTTCCAGATTAATGCGCGGCCTATCTAACCCGCGAAATGTGTACCGAGTTGTACCAAAGGTGACCTAAGACTATCGTGGTACAGTAGATCTGGGTTTGTGTTAGGAATAAATTCCCACCGGGTTGAAATCGATTCGAATCGCCGCCTCCCCGGATAGTGAGAAACTTGGCTAGTCCCAACATCGTGAGCAAATATATTATGAAACATGGTGGTTCGGATGAATATGGAATTACAATACACTATGGTTACTATTGTATGCTTCTAAATGATATCCCACATGTTTGGCACGGGGATAGTTGCTAATCTAGAAATGGATAGTTATAATTAACTTGATAAAGGAATCATAATTGTACAACGGATCAATTGCCTTTTTCGCAAAAATGTTGTCAAGTTACGTCCCACTTATACAACCTTGCATACTCCTTGGAGTCATTTTATTTCGGTTCATGACGGGTAAGTCTAGTGAGTACCTTCTCGTACTCGGGGTTTATTTTCCCAATGTTGCGTAGATGGCACTTTGTGTATCATGGTTATTGCAAGAGTTGCTTCTATCCCGCATTGTGGATGAGGAGTAAGCCTTGGGCGTGCTTCCTTAGTAATTCCTATCTTTGCTTTTGTGGATCGTGATCCGGCATGGCAATCGTATCAAACTATGTTGGAAACTTATCTTCGAACTTATTTGCTTCCGCTTTAATTATCAAACTCGGTTTGTAATATAATTTTCTATTCGTACTCACGATGATGAAAAGTACCGCGAACTTTATGTAATATGTGGCATGTATGTTGAATCCTGTACGATCTTGGTTGTTGTAAATCGTTTATCGAGACCCGTCGTGGTACTCGACGGACTACCGGGTTTATATGGGT